GACTCGGCCCAGGGGACATTCGCCTGGGGGGGGCGCGGAGCCGCTGAGCTAGCAGAAGGGCCTTGCCGGGGTCAGCGGGCCTCGGTCATCGGCACCTGGCACGAGGCAGGGACAGAGGCTGGGCCGTCGCTGCCACCACGGATGACAGCGCCCCCCCCCCCAGGCTGGGGCAGCTGCCTCCTGCGAGAAGCCCGCTGTCCACCTGCTCTGCAACTCGGTCCTGGCCAATGCCGGTGTCGCTGGGAGGACACAGAAGCCACGTGCACAAGAGCGTGACCCACAGTGACCAGAGAGCGATCGGAGTGATCTGCACACCCGGACATGGCGGGCAGGACAGAGCCAGCATCTGAGCAGAGTGCCCGGGGAAGAGCTTTGCTTTCTTTTTTCTTTTTTTCTTTTTTTTTGGTACCAGGGATCAAACTCAGGCCCTTGCACTTGCGGGGCAGGCGGTGGCTCCACTGAGCTAAATCCCCAGCGGGAGCTTTCTTTTTAATAAAGTCTCAGGAAGAGCAAGAACACAGACACCAGAAATCTATCCTACCTATCCCTCCCCTCTTCTTTCTTGGGCAGTAAGAAGTGCCAGGTTTTCTGTGCATGATCGAATTAAATGAAAGCCTCAGCATTGTATTAAAATAGTAAGAAAACATTGCCAGGCACGGGGGCACGAGTCTGTAATCCCAGGACTCGGGAGGCTGAGGCAGGAGGATCACTGTGAGTTGAAAGCCACGCTGGGCTATGTATCGAGACCTTGTCTCCAAAAAGAGCAAATTAAAAATAAATAAATAATATTTAGAAGAAATCTAGAGGTTATACCCTAAAAGGCCAACAGTGTTCATCTTTGAGTACAGTGGTTTTTCCTACCGGCCTCTCCAACTCCCCACATTGAGTTTGTACCGTAGGTGGGACAGAGCCTCGGCCCCTGCCTCTGGCCCTCCCCAGCTTGTCCAGCCCTAGCTATTGTCAGCCCCCCCATCCACCCAGGAGGCCACATCCCTGGAAGTCACCTCGGAAATGACTGCACCACTGGCGTAGCCATGGCACCAACCCCAGTGTGGTCGCAGGTGCAAGTCGGTTTTACCGCGTTTAATCACACAGCTCGCGGAGCAGGGTAATTACCTACCCGGTGGCAATTACACTTCCATCATTTCTACGCTTCCACTAAAAGGCGGCATCTTACATTGGAAAGAAACAAATTGTGGCTTAAGCCAGTCGACAGATGCCTTCCTGTCGGGAGGCCCCAGAGGGATGGAGGCGCCCCACCGCTGACTCAACACTCCCCGTGCCTCACGTGACACACAGGCACCCCGACACCTGCTCTCTCAAAACGTATTCTCAGAAAATTGCCACTGCTGGCTGAGGGGCAGAGCGAGGGGTGAAGCCCAGGAGTGGTTAGTGCAGAAGCCAGGACCTCAGCCCCACACGGCAAGCGCCGCCATGGGAATAACATTTCCTGTCCTCCCCTTTCACATCAGCCGGCACAGCCCATGACTCCAGCAGCCCTCAGCTCTTTCCTGTTAGCCTTCTCCTCCACAGCAGCCTATGAAGTGGGGCTTATTTGAGAAGCTTGTGATGTTCTCCAGCTTCAGGTATGGCTGTATCGAGGAGACCAAGTTTCTACAGCCTGGGACTCAGGCACAGTCTCTTACCTAACTACAAATTTGTAGCGTAATGTCAGAGAAATCTTGACAATCCAGCTGGGTGAGGTGGCACATGCCTATAATCCCAGCACTTGGGGCTGAAGCAGGAGGATCATCACACTGAGCTCTGTCCCCAGCCCTTTTTTATTTTTTAAATGTTGAGACAGGGTCTCACTAAGTCACTAAGTTGTCCAGGGTGGGCTCAAACTTGCAACCCTCCTGCCTCAGCCTCCTAGGTGTGCACTGGCCTGTGTCAAAGACACTGGTAGCTGGAGGGTGGCTTTACTCCCTGCCTGGGAGTTATATTCCATCCCCTTGTCCCTCTGTCTTACCTTCACTGTTTCCCCCATGTTCATAGAAAAGAAACCTACCTGCCCACTCGAGTGATGTCCTCAACCTGTCCCAGAGCCTATGCTCCAAACTGTTGGTGCCGAAATTCAGTGACCCCTGCCCCAGATGGCAGCACACAGACCTCTGCCCTGCTCCCGAGGTTGCCAGTCCTGCAGTTCTAGCTGGAGCCCAGACACTGGCCTTTCTAACCTCTTCCAGGGGATGAAGAAGACATTCCAGGCTGGGAGCCCAGCCAGTGCAAAGGTCCCGGGGCAGGACCTCCTGGCCTGGTGTGCCAGGAGCCTGGGAGAGAGGAGGAGCGGAGAAAGCAGAGCCAGTCTGTGAGGCCTCAAAGTCAGCAAGCATGAGCTGAGCAGTGGGAACTGGTCAGGGACTGGGCTGGCATTGAGTCTGCAATGACAGGAGAGCCCATGCATCCCCCGCCAGAGCAAAGTCACCACCCTCAGAGCTTTGACAAAACCCCTCCCTGTCTCCTGCTCTGTGTCATCGGCACGGCATGCCCACCTTTGTGGGGACCCTGGGGTGATGCCCCATGCAACACGCCGTGATGGTGAAAAGCAGGAGTCAGCCATACACACTGAGTGCGCACAGTCTGGGCCAGAGCAGTGATTCACACCTGCGCTCCCCCTGCTCAGGTGGCTGAGGCAGGAGAATCACTTAGGCCCAGGAGTTCAAGGCCAGCCTGTCCAATGTAATGAGACCTCATCTCAGAAAAATAAAGGTATCTAGAGCCAGCCTGTCTGTACTTCCCTGAGGACATTTCGTATACACTCAAGCATCCTGCGTCTAGACTGATGCTTGCTTGTGGTGGGGATTCTGCCACAGTTACTGCTCCTGTTGTGGAGACAAAGCCACACAGGAGGAGCGGTTTACTTCAGATCACAGTCTGTGGAGCCGGCTCCAGGCAGGACAGCACGGCAGAGGGGAGCAGTCCACAGCAGGGTAGGCAGGAGGCCGGGAAGCAGCAGCCCCCCTTTCCTGTGCTTCCCACCCAGGTTGCACACCTGTTGGTTGGTGCCACCCACGCCCAGGGTGGGGTTTCCCATTACCCACACCCCGAATCAGGCTAAACCAATAGGTGGTCTAATCCAGCACCACACCCCTTAATCCACATTCACACACCTGTTGTTTGTGTCCACGAGCTGAACAAAGGTTCAGGAGCTCGGACTGCAGGGCCAGGCAAGCAATCACCAAGCAGGCTCCGGAAGGTTTCTGGAACACTTCCACTTTTAATAAGTTCAGCCAGCAATTATGAAGTTTTGAAAGAGGGAGTGGCAAAGGGGGAGTGATATATTTGGCTTAACAGGATGGCTTATTGGAGTGTCCTTGGACGGGCGATGGAGGCGTCCAACTAGGGGGGACGGGCGAGGCCCTAGCCGGACATAGATAAGGCTCAATGCACGAGCTAGGCCTCTACTAGTGTGCTAGGAGACATACGTGCAGGGCACTTGTCCCAGCCAGACTTGTACCCCATCTGCACACACCCACGATCCAGCTACCTCTGAAAAGCCCCACCCGAGAGCCTGAAGCTTTGGAGGGACATCTAGACACAAGCCACAACTGGTTCCTTCCTTCCTTCCTTTCTTTCTTTTTTTTGGACACAGGGTCTCAATATGTTTTCCAGGCTGTCCTTGAACTCACTCTGTAGCCCAGGCTGTCCTTGAACTTGTGGCGATCCGCCTGCCTCAGCCTCCCAAGTGCTGGGCTGACAGGCATGCGCCCCCACACCCTGCTAGGACTCCGTTCACTTCTGTCCAGTGGACACATAAGTGAACCGAGAAATGAGGGACGCACACAAGGGGTCGACCACAGGCCTGGCAGCTGGAGGTCCCTTCAGTGCCGACCCGCCCCAGCTGGCTGCCCAGACACCCGGACCCCATCCCTAGCTCCGCTGCAGGTCGCAGGGGTCACTGCTGGGAGTCTGGGTGGAGAGGAGACTTAAGGAAGGCCGCCATGTTCCCTGATCTGTGTGGCAGAAAGGCCCCTTCTGTGCCAGTTGACCACGGATGAGCTGTTTCCAATGGGCAGAAAGGAGAGGTCGCAAGGTGAGCGGCCTGGAACATGAGAGGTGAGCACATGGCAGGGAGTGTTATGGCTGCACCACAACCCTGGCCCCTCACGTCCTTTCTGTCCTGGAAACAGAAGGGAGGCGAACACACAAGAAACCAAGCCCCAGAAAATCAGCCCATTCCCCCAGGGGTCCTGTCTGCGTTGAGCGCTGAATAAAGAACTGAATTCCAGACCAATGGTGTAGCTTACATTTTCCCTTTAAATTTTGCTTTTTCTTTTTTGAGCCAGAGTCCTACAGTGTAGCCCTGGCTGGCATCAAATTTGCAGGGATCCTCCTGCCTCAGCCTCCCAGGCGCACCACCATGCAGAGCGTTTACTCCCTTTCTTTAGCAGACTCACCCCCCACCAGAGTCCTAAAACAGCTGTGTCGGAAAAGGAGCTG